GTGGGGGATGAGCTTTTTATATCTTAAGCCTGGTCTCATCTCCCTCCAGAGAGCCCAGCTGCATCTGTGTGCTGGCGAAGCACATGTATGTCAAGAGCCAGATTGGATATGAAAGTTGGACTATAAAGAAAGCTGAGTACCAGCGAATTGATGCTTTTGAACTGTGATGTTGGAGAAGACTCTTGAGAGTCCCTTGGACTGCAAGGAGATCCAGCCAGTCCATCCTAAAGGAAATCATCCCTGAATACTCATTGGAAGGACTGATGCTGAAGCTGAAACTCCAATACTTTGGCCACCTGATGCAAGGAACTGACTCATTGGAAAATACCCTGATGCTGGGAAAGATTGAAGGCAGGAGGAGAAGGGGAAGACAGGATGAGATGGTTGGATGGCGTCACTGACTGATGGACGTGAGTTTGAGCAAGCTCCAGGAGTTGATGATGGACAGGAAAGCCTGGCATGATGCAGTCCATGGGGGTCACAGAGTCAGACACGACTGAGCGACTAAACTGACTGACCGACTGAGATTCGCATAACCGAGTGCCCGCTCCGTGGAGGAGGGCTCCTGGGCTCTCCAGCCTGCTCCTCTAAGGGAGACCTCAGCTCCCAAACCTTCTGTCTGAGTTAGGACTGCTATAGCTAGTGCTCAGACCAGTGACTCATAAATAATAGAAATGTATCTCTCACTTCTCTAAAGGCTTGAAGGTCCGAGATGAGGGTGCCAGCATGGATGGGCCCTCGTTAAAGACAGCCTACTTCTCCCTGCTCCTCACTGGTGGAAGGAGCTGGGGTAGGGATCCACCGTCATGACCTACTAACCTCCTAATAACATCACTTTAGGATTTCAGTAGGAATTTGGGGGAACACAAGCATTCAGTCCACTGTACCCTCTGCTCAGTCCCCGCCCCCGGCAGAGGAGGTGGCCACAGGCCACTCCACCCATCCAGCTCCACCCATTCCCGTGCCCCTTCTGCCCCTCACACTGAATCCACTTGGTCCCAATTCCAGAATGGGCAGACTCTCAGCACCACTGAGACCAAGTCAAACTTCCTCCTGGATTAGTGCAGCCCCTCTGCATTCTCTCTACAGCAGCCAGACAGGCCCTGTTACAACAGAAAGCACATGTTCCATTCGACTTCTTTGATTCAGGAAATTTTGCTTTCAGGTCCGCCTCTTGTGTGATCTTATCTATTTGGAATATCCCTCATAAATGGCCATTCTATTCTAGGTTGTTTTAGTAAGACTTTGCCATTTTTGTGATATATACAGCTTCTGGGACAGCAGTTCTTAGATATAAAATGAACAGTTGTGCCAGCAGGTGGCGAGCTCCTTTCTTATATCTAACCCTTGGGTTCTCTCTGAGACAAACTAATACCTCAAAGGAGCTTGCCTCTGAGATGCAGATTGTGCGTGATTCGTGGTGTACCTTGCTGCTCAATTTTCTTGGGTTTGATGAGCGATCTGGAGTCAATACAACCAATTCCATGATCAACCTATCCTAACATGTGAGTCCTTAGGTCAGGAGGCAAGTGGTGTAACAGCTCTTAAATGCTTAATCTGCACTACCAGTTTTGGCTGCTTGTTTTTCTAACTTGAAAGTTCTGCATTCCCAGTAGGATCTGCACTAGACCCAATCCAGCTTAAACTGGAGTAGCTCATTTTGAGATCCAGTTCAGTTTTTAAATGAGACCCAGCCTGACTCCAGATGGTAAACACCAACAGTTCCTAACGTGGAGTCTGAGGGCTGGGAGAGGATTGGACCAGCAGAACTCCACACATGAAGAGTGCAGCCGGGGGCTCCACACCGACCGGACACTGTGCATTGGGAACTCATAGTTCCCACATAGATGCTGAGACAGATTTGGGGGACTGGGGTTTTACATCCAAAATAGGGAACTGTGAAAACTGCGGCTTGGGAGACCCTCCCAGTGAGAGATCAAGGCAAGGCTGTGGGTGCCCAAGGGGTGGGCGTGGGGGGTCTATGTCTCCATTGTCCCAAGACGTCCTCCTTCCCAGCCTCATTAGAAAAGGTACATCCTTCACACTCAGATAAATTCAGATCTCAAGTCTGGTCCAGAAAAGAGAAAGGTGCTGGAAGGACACTGCCCCCTGGTGGGTGAGTGGCCAGTGAAGGGGCCAGAGCTGAGGGAGGGTGAGCCCCGGGGCTCCTGGGGAGGCTGAGAGTCTGGGAGGAAGAGATGGAGGCCCCAGGACGAGGGGGCCAACCAGGCACTGGCCTGCTCACACCCTGGGTAACGGGCAGGGGTGGGTCACCATCAGGAAGGATGGGCACTGGGGTCTAGCAGGGGGGCCCCTGAGTCACAGGCCCTGGATGTCACCTGGACCCTCACCACCTCTTCTCCCCTAGTCCAGGGACTGGAAGACGGTGGGCAGCACCAATGGGGCCAGGGCCACACTCCACTGCCAAGCCTGGACGTCTATGCCTGGGCCTGGGCCTCCTTTTGACCATCGGGCTGATTGTTCTTGTGTGTGCAGACCTGACCGCCACCAGATGACTTTATAGTTTGTGCAGGATAGCAGAGGCTATTGCCCATGGCGGACACCCCACGAGCTCCCCTGTCCGCTGCTGGTCCTGCACCTGGGGCTATGGCCCTGCCCCTGTCCCCACCCTTTTAAAAATCAGTTTATACCTGAATATTCCTTGGAAGGACTGATGCTGAAGCTGAAGCTCTAATACTTTGGCCACCTAATGTGAAGAGCCAATTCATTGAAAAAGACCCAGATGCTGTGAAAGATTGAGCGCAGGAGGAGAAGGGGGCAATAGAAGATGAGATGTTTGGATGGCATCAATGACTCAATAGCCATGAGTTTGAGGGAGATAGTGAAGGACAAGGAAGTATAGCGTGCTGCAGTTCATGGGGTCCCAGAGAGGTGGACATGACTTGGGAACTAAACAACAATACCTGTCAACAATTGAATTCAACACACGTGCTAAGTCACTTTAGTTGTGTCTGACTCTGTGCGACCCTATGGACCTAGCACCACCTGGGAATGCTCTCTTTTTACCTAGAGCAGACAGGAGGCTCCTTCCCCCAGGATCCTGCTGGCCAAATGCTCCACCTTTGGGAACCTCAGCTGTGCAGAGGGCTGCCAGAGCAGCCAAGGAGAGAAAGGCTTTTATGCTCAGTGACTCAGTCGTGTCCAACTCTCTGTGACTGCGTGGACTGTAGCCCACCAGGCTCCTCTGTCCATGGGATGCTCCAGGCAAAAGTACTGAAGTGGGTTGCCATTTCATCCTCCACGGAGTCTTCCCGACCGGGAATACAAACTCGCGTCTTCTGCATTGGCAGGCAGATTCTTTACCACCAAGCCACAGAGGAAGTCCCAGAATGGTAGCAAATCTGAAATTTGTTTTGAAAACTCTACCTTATCAAAAGGGATGGGATTTTTCATACACAACATGGCTAATTATAGGGCTTCCCTGGTGACTCAAGATGGCTCAAGGAGACCCGGGTTCGATCCCTGGGTCAGGAAGATCCCCTGAAGAAGATAATGGCAACCCACTGCAGTATTCTTGCCTGGAGAATTCCATGGACAGATGAGCCTGGCGGGCTACAGTCCATGGTGTCACAAAGAGTCGGACGTGACTGAGTGACTAAGACTTTGACTTTGATGGCTAACTATATCACCCAAAACATTTAAACCTATTCCCATGTATCATATTCATGTTCCAAACACAAATTAATCCTATCCAGCATTGGAATTGGCACACTTGTCACCTCTACTGAAAGACAGATGGGAGACAGTAAAATGACAATGAAATCGTATCAAAGAGACGGAAAATAACAGAATATCTAGATATAGTCAGAATCTCTTTTCTGAAGTCCTAGAAGAAAGTTTTACTGTTCTGCCTGATTTTCTCTAATGGGTCTAGGCATTGTGATGCCATCTCATTTTGAATGTAACCGTGAAGTAATCTATTAACTGCACCTACACAAAACTGGAAAACTCTATTTATAAAGAGTACTGTAAACATGGAATTATGATGTGCAGTATGTTTTTTCTTGCTTCATCCCTGCCAGAAAGATGAAAGTGAGTCTTTAATTATGGCAAAATGTAGCTTCCCTCATTGGCCACGCACCCTTAGGCTGACATTCAGACTAAAGAATTCTTCACATCAAATGAAATTGGAGTAATAGCTATAAAACATATTAAACACCAAAAGCTGCCTAAAATACTGTTTATTCTGAATGAGAACGAAGAGTGTAAAAATCAACTGTTACCAAACTTACCTACAGGGATCTTTAAAATAAGATAAATGAGTAGTATTCACCCTACGGAAGGAAGGGAATTCATGCTATAGTGTGGGTGGACTTTGAGGACATGATGCTCAGTGGAATAAGCCAGTCACCAAACAGCATATCCTGTCTGACTCCACTCACACAAGGACCCTGGAGGGGTCAGATTCACTGACACAAGAAGTAGACGGTGGGGCAGGGGCTGCAAGAGGTCAGGGGAGGGGAGTGAGTGTTTCCGGGGACGGAGTGTCCTTTTGGGAGGGTGAGCAAGTCCTGGAGGTGGATGGTGCTGGTGGTTGCACCACGGTGTGAATATGCTTAATGCCCCTGAGCTGCGCTCTTAGACATGGCTAAGACGGTAATTTGATGTGTGTTTTGCCACAGTTAAGAAAAAGATGAAGTCTCGTGCCAATAATCTGATTAATGATTAGCTCAAGTGTTCTTCCCAGGTTGGAAACCAGGCCACTGTTTAGCCGGAAGGGCTGCTGGCAGGACCTTGGGACTAGCAGTGCCACCAGGGAGAATTGGGGCCATAAAATCACACTGAGGCCTCAGGCACCCAACAAGGTCCCAGACAACCAACCAATTCAACAACAGGAAATAGAAAGTAGTGAGAAATAGAAACTACCCCACAATGGGACCGCCCACTAAAAATCCACTGGCATCTCAGACTATCTAACAGGAAACTCATTTCTCAAACTTTCCCTCTACCATCAGCACTAGGTTCCCTCTAAGCCAGCGATGAGCAAGGAGGAGCACGAGGTGGCCGTGCTGGGGGCGCCCCAGGGCCAGGCGCCCGCGACGACCACGGTGATCAGCATCCCCAGGGAGACCTCTGTTCCCGACCACATCGTGTGGTCCCTGTTCAACACCGTCTTCATGAACTGGTGCTGCCTGGGCTTCGTGGCATTCGCCTACTCTGTGAAGGTGGGTGGGCACCTGGGGGCGTCTCCAAGGAAGTGTCTGGGAGCCTGGAGGGGGCCCTGCCCAGATGGCGCGCGCACTGGGGCGCCCCCGTGTGTAAGGGTCTGTGTGCGTGTTCTTGGTGTGTGTGTGTTGTGTGTGTGTGAGTGTGGCTTGGGGGATCATTCCCAGTGAGACTCATGGTGAGGCTGCCTGGGTGCTCATGGGGTGGAGGTGGGAGTCTGTGTCTCTCGCTCCCCAAGACGGCCTGCTACCCAGCCGGCACATCCTTCATACTCAGCTTCAGCACTCGAGTCTGGTCCAGAAACGAGAGAGGTGCTGAAAGGACACTGACCCCTGGGGGGTGAGTGGCTGGTGAAGGGGCCTGAGAGGAAGGGAGGGTGAGCCCTGGGGCTCCTGGAGAGGCTGACTCTGTGTGAGGACGCAGACAAAGGTGCCAAGAGGGGAGGATCTCACCGGCCACTGTCCTGCTCAGGCTCCAGGGAACGGGAGTGTGAGGTCCCATCGGGGTGACTGGGACCAACAGGGGAGGGCCTGAGTCACAAGCCCAGCGCTCACCTGGACCCTCACCACCTCTCCCCCTGCAGTCTAGGGACCGGAAGATGGTCGGCGACGTCACTGGGGCCCAGAGCTACGCCTCCACCGCCAAGTGCCTGAACATCTGGGCCCTGGTCCTGGGCATCTTTCTGACCATTGGATCAATCGTTCTTCTCGTTTTTGCCTACCTGGCAGCCTACCAGATGAGTTTAGAGATGATGAAAAATAGAGGCTACTAGCCGCTGTCCATGGAGGCAGTCCAGGGCCTCGACCTTCCTTGGATGGTTTTGCACCTGAGGCATGGGCCCAACCCTCCTCCAACGCAAATGCAGCAGTTTATAGACCCAGATTGTCAACCACTGAATCAATAAAGTGCCCTTGTCTGTGAAGTTGCTGTGATGTCTCCTGCGGAGGGAGCTGTGACCCCGGCGGCCCCTGGGGAGCCCAGAGCAGTCAGCTGCAGGCTGACGGAGAGGGCCAGAGCAGAGCTGGTGACCCCACCCCGGTCAACAGGAACCCCCAGAGGAAAGACCCCTTCCTGCCCTCAAACCCGGCGGGCCCTGCTGGGTGGAAGGGTCTCGCAAACACTGTTGTGAGCCTGGGATGCAGACAGGGAGATGGGGCCCCTCCTAGCCCAGTGCGGGGAGAAACACCCGGACACCGCTCCCCAGGGGAGCGGGTGGGGGCCGCACCCCACCTGCGGAGCCACTGTGCCCTGCACGGGGTGTCCTGGGTGTCACCCCAGAGAGGCTGAAGGAGTCCAGGCAGCCACAGGCTGCTGCTGGGGAGTGACCCCGCTCCACACGCCCTCTGGGGACCCAGGCTCTTCTGGGCTCACTCAGGGAGCGCAGGACCAGTCCTGTCCAGCTCTTGCTGAAGTCAGCAGCTCTCCACGGTGTGCTCCCCTCCTCCTGGCACCCAGAGGGGATGGACGCCCAACCCCCACTGGGCCCTACCTGGGAGCCAGGCTGGTCTGGATCCTCCCTGGAGGACGTGACTCAGATGAGGTTGCCCACTCTCTCTTGGGTCCCACACAGGGATGCTGAGTCCTGCAGGAGGAGAGGCTGGCAGACTGCCTCTGAGTCCAGGAAGAACTGTCACCTGGGCAGGGATGGGGGGACAGATGTGCGGCGCTGACCCCAATCTCTGAACCCCCAACCCCGGCAGGCCGACTAGGGGGTCCCCACATCCTCTGTCAGGTGGGCAGCAGTCATGAGGGGTGGTGGCACTGAGTGTAACCCGCCTGAGCTTCACCGATTTGGGGTGAGGGTCCTGCTAGGCGGGAGACCCCTTGGTGCAGGCCGCAAAGCCCCGTGTTCTGGACCTTCTGAGAATTCACAGGAGGCCTGAGGCATCAGGCAGGGGAAACTGAGGGACCTTCCCTCGATGGTCCTGGGTGCTGACTGCTGGGCCGTGAGCAGCTGTGGTCCTTGGAGCCACAGCCCGGCCTGGTTCCCAGTGGACGGTCACGTGTCCTCTGTCAGCAGTGCGTGGACGGGGCTGGAAGAGTTCGGGAAGCGGCAGGACAGAGCAGGAAGGTTGGAGCCCTGGGCCAGGGTGATGGGGGGGCCGGTAGCGTGGCCAGGAGGCGCCACTGGTCCCTTTTCCAAGTAGCCCGTGGGGAGAAGGCTCTGCCTCTGCTTTGCCTGGACTGGGCCTCGGAGGAATTCAGAAGATAGGGCTCGTTAAGACGCCAGGTTTGGTCCCAGCTGGGGGAGGACAGAGCAGGGCAGAGGAGTCCCGGGTGGGGGTGGGCAGAGGTGCCCCGGCCTCGCCCCTGGCTCCCTTCCTGTTGCTGCTGGTGTGGGAAGATTCTGCCCCCGCAGCCCACCCAGCAGGGTCTGCGCCGCTGGGCAGCGTCCCTGCCGACTCCAGGGCGTTGCGGGCTGCTGGCTCCTCCCCACCTCAGAGGCAGTCCTTCCCGACCCCGGGGGCATGCCTGCCAGCCGTCCCTCCTCCAGGGCTTCCTTGGTGCTGCCCCTCCCTGCTCACGGGTGTCAGACCCACAGGGAGAGGGGCTCCCTCCTGGCCCACCCTGGGATCCCAGCCTTCCCGCAGCCTCTCCACGTCAAGGGGCTGGGGTAGGGACAGATTTGGGGGCAGAGGACCGGCATGTGGAGTCAGGGGACGAGGGGGTGGCTCTGCTGCCCCTCTACACACCCCAGCCCAGCTGGCGGTGGGCGGGTCTGCCCTGCCCCTCGAGCGCCCCCGCGTCTGGAGGCCATGGCAGAAGCAGGGATGGGGCTGAGGTCGAGGGCAGGGCAGGGCAGGGGCCACTCCTCCACCTGAGCAGCACGGGGCTCTCTCTGCAGTGGTGGACGCTGTGCTCCTGTCGCCTTGCGGGCAGGAGGAGCCTGCGGGGCCCCGCAAAGGACAGTGACGAGAGGGACGTGCCACAGGGTGTGAGAGGGAGCTGGGAGCCGGGAGAGCCGGAACTGACCAGCGTCCTGGCCTGACCGCCCTCGGACCCCCCCGAACTCCTGCTCTTCGCTCCCTGGAAACTGTTTAGCCACCAGCCAGCTGCCGGCCGGGACCCTGGCCTGCTGGCGCCACCCCCTTTGTGGGACCTCCCGAGACTGCTCTGGACCATCCTCGCTGTGTTGTGACCCTGCCATCTGGACTTTCCTGGAGCACAGTTGACTTGCCACCCAAATCTGCATTTCTCCGATTGCAAATCCTAATGCGCCAAACGTATCTTTTTTTTTGTGCTGGCTTCTGAGGGTTTTGTTTGTATTTTCTGTCGGTTTTGTTCTCGGTTTTGTCGACAGAGCTGAGGGTGTTCTGTGCCCAGCGTGGCCCTTCCCATGAGGAACCCACACCCCAACCCCCTGACCAGTTACTGCAGACCCAGCCCAAGGCCCCAGAGAGGCCGGACCCCGCCTAGAGCCACATAGCACGTGGGACAGTGCGGGGTGGGAGGAGGAGGGCTCGGGCTCACGTCCAGGCCGGGACTCTCAATTGCCCCCTCCCCAGGTCAAAACACAGTGCCCTCACATACAAATGCTTCCTTTTATTTCATGGTGGACAGATGCCTGTATAAGCTGCAGGAAAAAGGGGTGACTGCCTCGGACTGTGGGCAGGGACTAGTGGCCTCCATGGTTCTGTATGAGCTCCGAGAGTGCTTGAAGAACCATCAGGGAGCCGGTGGACACAATGATGATGAGGATGATAATCAGAAGGAGGCCCAGGACCAGGGCGCAGATGTTCAGGCACTTGGCGGTGGAGGCGTAGCTCTGGGCCCCAGTGATGTCGCCGACCATCTTCCGGTCCCTAGACTGCAGGGGGAGAGGTGGTGAGGGTCCAGGTGACTGCCGGGCCTGTGACTCAGGCCCTCCCCTGCTGGTTCCCCCAGTGCCCGTTCTTCCCAGCGGGGACCCACGCCTGCACGTCCCCTGGAGTCTGAGCACGACAGCAGCTGGTGAGCCCTCCTACCCTCCTGGGGTCTCCAGCTGCTTTCCCACAGATAGTCGGCCTCTCCAGGAGGCCCAGGGCTCACCTGTCCTTCCTCTCAGGCCCCTTTACCGGCCACTCACCCACCAGGGGACAAAAGGCTGACCCTGGTCATCCCCACGCACCCCCTGCAGCCTCATCATGACCTGCACATGTTTACACACACACACACACACACACACAGAGAACAACACACACGGGGGCTCCCCAGCCCACATGCCGTCTGGGCAGGGCCCTCTCCAGGCTCCCAGACACTTCCTTGGAGACGCCCCCAGGTGCCCCCCCACCTTTACAGAGTAGGCGAATGCCACGAAGCCCAGGCAGCAGCAGTTCATGAAGATAGTGTTGAACAGGGACCACACGATGTGGTCGGGCACGGCGGTCTCGCTGCGGATGTTGATCACCGTGGTCGTCACGGGCGCCTGGCTCTGGGGCGCCCCCAGCACGGCCACCTCGTGCTCCTCCTTCAGCACCTCGTAGGCTGGGGGCACCGCCCCGTGGGCCCCAGTGAAGAAATTCTGGGATGTGCGGTTCATGGTGGGGACGGAGCAACTGTGGCCCAGATAAGCAACTGCGGTCCTGATGAGCAACTCTGGTCCTGATGCCAGCACACACTAGGGTGGCCCTCCTTTTCCTCCTTTACCTCCTTTACCTCCTTTACCTCCTTTACCTCCTTTACCTCCTTTACCCTAAGTTTCCTTTTCCTGGCCGGGTTTCATTTCGTAAGTGGAAATGGGCTGGCCTTAGGAGGTGGGATGAACCACTGAGTGTCAGGTTACATCGAGGTCAGTGGGAGGGGGGTTCCTTCCCCAGAGGCTGGAAGGGGCTGGAGGTTTCCTTCTACCCTCCCAGGTTCTCGGCTGGAACTCCCCTCTGTCATAATAAAAAGACAGTTTAACAGGAGAAAAATAACAATTTACCAACAAGTATACCTCCTGTCTATGGGAGGGACCCAATAAAGTTGAGCAACTTCTCGAAATGCTGAAGCCAGCGCCTAAATGCCATTTGAGCTCAAGATGAGAGGTTGCGTCGGGTAGGAGAGGTCTCCTTGGGGAGGTTACCCCGAAAAGCACAGAAATAAGGGTGGCTTACTGCAGAGGTCAGTCCTTGCTGCCTCCATCCATGAAAGTTTCCAGGAAATGTGTTCTCCCCCCTGGCCCCAGTACAATAGGGGCACCCTTACAGGAAGGTTGCCTTGTACATTAAATGTCTCTCATAGGCTGACTTCTACTCAGCCTCAGAATTAAAAATAACCAGTTAAAATAATCAGTGTACCAAAGAGGCTTATTTGGGCTTATGAATTCTACTTCCCTTAACACCCAAGTCTGAGGCCCTGTGTTAGCCACGCACCCTTCCCTAATTAGGGATGTGGTCTGGGGACCCTTCCCCAGCCTGGGGGGTCTCAGGCCCAAGCCTGCTGCAGCACCCTTATCCCCACTTGGGGCCCCTGCCAGGCCCCACTCAGCCTCACCCCCAGGCCCAGAGGAGCCCCGCCCCCACTGCCAGCCCCCCAGAGGCACAGGCCTCCCCTCTGAGGGGCACTGGCCCCCCAGTCCTGAGTCCCCGCTCCAGGCAGGGTTTGAGGCCTTCCCGGGTGCAGGGCAGCACCCAGCAGCTCGTGTGGCCTGCCCCGAAGGAGCCTCCCGTGGTCCCCTACGGGCTGGAGGAGCGGGACCTGGGCGGGCTGTGCGGAAGCAGGACGCCTGCCGGGTGTCTGGCAGCCCCTGGGAGCCCTGGGCCTGCGTGTCTGTGCAGCCCGGCCTTCCTGCCTCCCCCGCCCCCCTTCATTTCTCATGGGACCTGGGGTGGCTCCAGGGGAGCGGGTGTGCTGGCACGATGGCTCTGGGCGTGGGGCTGTGCCCCTTACTCAGGGACAGGGCAGGTCAGCTCTGTGGCCAGGCCTCCGCTCTCTTCAGACTTCTTGAAAAGAGCCAGTTATTTTACTAGCAAATAGGTTTACACACAGGAATAACAGATAGCTGCAATTCAGGACAAGAAAGTCATAGCAAAAACTGTAAACACATTCAGGAAACAAAGGGGAAGATGTTACTCTATAGAGAAAAGGAGGCAGTTGAAGGGGCGGCTATGAAGAAAGTCCATCGGAGAAACGTGGTGAGTAGGGTGGTGATGGTTTCTGTGGTCTGAGTTGCAAGGACTCTCATTGGCTGGAATTGTCGCTGGTGTGAGGAAGTACTCCTCTCCTCTTCTAGGTTCTCTTGGCTGGTCTAAGAATTAAGTTGTCATAAGACAATTAGGGCAAAATCACACAAAAGTTTAGTAACATGTGTACATGGGAGAGACCCAGGAGAACTGAATCACCATTGAAATGGCCAAGACCCTCACCTTAAATACCATCTTCAACTAAAGACAAGGGAAGATGCTGGGGTAGGGTTTCATGACTTGAAGGGGGCAATTGACCTGGAAATAGAAAAGCAAATGTTTGGGAAACAAATGTCTGCTGGGCCAGGGAGGGCACTGGGGCACAGGCTGGACTCTGATCTCCAGCAAACCTTTTATCCAAATTACTTTCGGCTGTTATGGGGAGGCAACAATAAAAACTTCCCATATCTTCTGTTTTGTTTTGTTTTTTTAATAAATAATCAGCCTAAATTAATCCTTATGCCAAAGAGAAACATTTTGGGATAGTAAATTTTGCTCCCCTCCAGTGGGTACTATCGTTACAGAATGTCACAAGAAAACCAGAACCAACCTTTCGGCCAATATAGTATGTGGTCGTGAAAGCCCCCAGATCTCCTTGGGTTGTGCACAGGCTTCTGATCATGTTTTCATTGACCCAGGGGAAAAAACTCTCCAGGCAAACCTGGAACCACGTGTGCCTCCTGGAAGTTTCTGGTTAAGGTGTTATGGAGGCTCGATGACCAGGAAGAGGCTTCTGATCCCTCATGAAGAGAAAACAGAATGTAAAAACAGCAAGAGCACACTGCCCTTTACCCTCCAGCTGTCACCTAAGACTTGCCCCAGCACAGACACCGCTGCCAAACGTCCCCTCATGAGGGGCACTGAGGGCGCTCCTGAGCTGCAGCGTCTGCGGACCCTTAAGTCAGAATAGAGGCGTCAGCATCAATCAACCAAGGCTACCTCAAATTATGGGTGTCCCAAAGCTGACAAATAGCCCGATTTACATGGATTGCCCTTCAGTTATCTTACAGATCTTGTTTTTCCATCCCAGGGTTGGATTGCTTTGAAGCAAGGAATGGGGCATGGAATTAATTAAGGAATCTGAGTCCAAGTTGGAGTTGGACGGGCCTGCAGGCTAAGCTCTCTCACCCTTAGTGCATCACTGGTCACCCCAAACAGGAAGACATGTCCGTCTATACCTCCAGCAGGAAGGCCTCTCCGCTTCCCATTCAGCAGGAGGAAGCAGGTTTCTCTCTGCCGCCCCCGCCCCGCCAACAGCCCAGCCAGAGACCTCAGAGGCCCAGCTCCCGGAAACCTCGTTACTTTGGACCCTTGGCTCCTACAATGGACTCTGATTATCACAGCCCCTCCCAGCTCCCCCTTCTCCCTAGAGTAGCAAGTTTTCCCTCCTGGTTCTCTGGGTCTCCACGTGTTCCACCATGGTTTGCATATCCTGAGTTGCATTTCCTCTGCTATTCCTGAATAAACCTGTCTTGGCTGGTGCTGACTGGAAAAAAAACGCACAAACTAAATGTTGAGAATTATGTTTTATTTGGCAGAAAAAACTGAGACCTTAAGCCTGGGAGGCAGCCTCTCTGAGGATAAGGGAGGAGCCAGGACATATAGGAGTTTTGCAACAAAAGCCAAGTAGTCAGAACATCAAAAGATTACTGTTACTTAAAGAAAAAGCAGACATCTTAAGTAATGGTTTAGTACTGGTCTGTGAATGGGAAGATGCAAGTGTCTGGGCTCATCAGAGTCATTCCTTGGGCTGCACCTCAGCTCTCTGGGTCCAGGGTCCTGCACTTTCCCGTTCAGAGTCCCCTCAGAGGGGCGGCTGGAGGAGCCAAGGGCTTGTCCACAAATCCTTGTTTACTGATGTGGCAGGTGACATTCTATGCCTGCAAGTTTTCCTGTGCTTTCAATTCTTGACCTACAGAATACGCTGTGTAGTTCATATTTATTGAATTCCAATATTCATTAGTTTCTAAATTTTTCTTGGGCCATAAAAGTACCCTAGAAACTATCAACCTTGTTACCTGCCTAACGGACACCTGCCTACTTGACCCATCTGGGTCTTGGGCAGACTGGGGAGAGAAATGGAAGCGTGGTGGGGGTGGCCGCCCTGCAGCCCCGGGCCCTGAGATGGTCTGTGTCCGCTCCTCTCCCAGGATGGGGTGTTGGGTTAGGTTTTCCTCCCTGCTGGGCCAATTTCAGGCACCCCCTCAGCCAGCGCCGTGGCTGAGGCTCTTGCCCAGAAGCCACTGACCCCATATGAGGGCAGTCCAGCACCACCTTCTTCCGAGTCTATCACACCTCCAGGTGGGGGGGTGAATGCTGGGGCGGGCCACCCATTGCCCAGTGGCCACACTGAGAGCTAGACTTGGGTCAGGCCCCCGTGTGAATTCATAGTTAACAACACTCTGCCATTTTGTCATCTGTCATTACTTTTGTCATTTTGTTGTTTTTTTATATTCACTTTGTGGGCTAAGTAACTCAATCGTGTCCAACTTTTTGTGATCCCATGGACTGTAGCCCTCCAGGCTCCACTGCCATGGAATTTCCCAGGCAAGAACTGGAGTAGGTAGTCATTCCCTTCTCCAGGGGAATCTTCCCGACCCAGAGATCGAACCCAGGTCTCCTGCATTGCAAGCAGATTCTTTACCCTCTGAGCCACCAGCGTTTG